AATCCCCCACTACAATTGTATTAGTGCTTATTTGGTTTTTCATGTTACTTAATATTTGTTTTATATAGTTGGGGGCATTTATATTTGGTGCATATATGTTTATGATTGTCAGCTCTTCCTCTTGAATTGTTCCCTTTACAAGGATGTAGTGTCCTTCTTTGTCTCTCTTAATGAGTTTTGGTTTGAAATTTACTTTATCTGAATGCCTTCATTTTCTATAGTCAATAATATCGCCCTTTTAATGATGAGATCTCAAGATGTTTTGATTACTGAGAGCAGAAATGTATTCAGGATGCTAAAGTAAAAAACAACAAAAAGTCTGTGTAGGAGATGTTCTTGTACTCAACATACTAGACAAAAATTGTGTGCATGGGGGAAGTATTGCAGACCATAAAATGATTAGAATATATTATATTGATATAACAACTTTAGATCACCAAACATTTTTACATTCTTCTTGTGGTGCTATAACACTCCAGAGAAGATTTCAAGTAGAATAGGAAAAAGACATTATTAATAGAGAAGTGAAAGATATAAGGGGAGGGTGGAATGAGGTACAATTTTTAAAATTAAAAAAAAGGAAAAAGATCATTGTTTACATATAGGACAGATGAAGCTTAAGTAGATCAGTTGATTTGCTCAGTTTTTTTCTAACCTCAGTAATAGAGTCACACTTGATGTATGGTTTGGTGGGGAGATTAAGAGATGCATTTTTTTTTAAACCGGGGATTGAACTGGGGTCCTTGTGCTTGTGAGGCAGGCGCTGGATGCTGCTTTGATTTAACTAGTGTATGCTGGGAAGAACTCTGAAGTATTATTTAACTCAAGACCTAAAGCAATGAGAAGAGGCAACTATTTATAGAGACTAAGGATGAACATCTGAGGCCAAGGAAATAGCAAACACAGAGTTATTTTTAAAACGGAACATTTTAAAAGATAAAAGACAAGTACTATACTCTAAATAGGTAATAATAATAAGATAAACAAACCATAGTAAATTTAAAATTGTATTATACAGCATTTAAATATATTGTTCATCATAAGGGGAGAGTTCTTAATCTACCATAGTATATAAGAATCTAGAATCATAAATTTAACTTCCATATATTATAAATATTTAAAATTAAAATAAAAGTATAAAAGGAAACCTATCAAAATATTAACATTGTTTTATTTGGGAAGTGGAGACTTAGATGGTTTATTTGTAATCTGCTTATGATTACATTCTATATTTTCTGTACTTTATTTCTTAATTTAACTTCAAAGAAGATACTCAAACATTTTTCTACAGAAACAGCATTATCATAAATACTGAAATTCCTTTAAATGTTAGTGTATACTGAATGGCTGTATTCTGAAAAGTAATATATACAGGGGAGAAAATTTTAAATACATAAATAAAGTAAAATGTCATTAAAGAATCATCTAATGCATCCTATTTTTAAAAAATTTGATAGATATAATAATGTTCATTTTATAATACAAATATATTGTTTTGATTGTATGTTTATAGCTATGAATGCATAATGCATTGGCCTAAATACTTCAAAACCACTTATAGGAACACCAAAACTTCATGTATTTCATTGTAAGTAAAGTTTATAATAAAGGAAAAATATAACTTAAGTGGTGCATATTCATACAATAGAATATTATTCATCAAGAATGAACAGTATACATTTTTTGAAATAATGTAGGAAGAAAAATGTCATATATTTTCTATTTTTAAAAGTTTTTTTCTTTATAAGATCAGAAGATAAAAACCTCCTGATGATCCTTCTTAACAAATGTTTAGCATTTTCACAATTTTAAAAATTCCAAATTTTAAATGTTTATATTAATCATTTAGAAATAAAAATAAAATATATGATTGCTGTAGAAAATTTAAAATTTACCTTAAGATGTAGTTTCAAATGCAACTAGTAAGTAGTCATTTTCTCCAAAATTTCCAATATTTTATCTTCATCTGAAGCCTAGAATGAAAAAAAAATCCATTAAAAAAATTAAACAAAAAGCCGTTGGTAGATGGTTACAAGAAAGAAGCTGCCAACCTTAGGAGGTCATTCTATATAATTCCTACATGTGGTTGTGAGCACAGATTAACAGCCACCCCAACAGGCCAAAAGCATATAAAACACAACAACTTTTTTCTCTCCTTTTGTCTATTGTCTGTCTCTTATTTTGCACTTTATATATTGGGTTGCTAAGAAAAACCATATGTTGTTTAAACTTGTATGTCTGATTTAATTTACTTAATATTATGGTCTCTAGGTTCATTGTCCTACAAATGTCTCAGGTTTAACATGCCTTGTGGTAGAGTAGTATTCTACTGTGCATAAACACCATATTTTCTTTTTCTATTCATCTCTTCATGACATATGAGCTGCTTCCAAGATTTAGCTATTGTGAACTGTGCTGCTGTAAACATGAGTATGTATGTATCCCTGTAATATGATAACCTTAACTCTTCTGAAAAGATAATCTACAAAGGATAGCTGGATCAAATGGAATTTCTATTTTTAGTTGCATAGGGAATCTCCATTTTGATTAGCATAGTGTTTGTACCAGTTTACTCTCCTACCAACAATGAAGAAGATCCCCTTCAACCCCGACAGTTCCTTCCATTCTTTGGATTTTAATCTGTGAAATTCTTTTTTTTTTTTTTTTTTTTTTTAATCTCACTATGTATTTGAGATTGACCTGGAACTCACTATGTAGCCTAGGCTGGTCTTTAACTCACAGCAATCCTCCTGCCTTAGCCTCCTGGGTTCTGGGATTACAGGTGTGTGATACAATGCCTGGCTTGTGAATTTCTTTTTTAATTAAATGTGGTTTTATATACTGTATATTATTGGGTTTTGTTTCTAGATCTATTCTGCCAATTTATTTTGCCTTGAGAATTGAGACCGTTCACACTTAGAATTTTTGCTGAGAGGTATTGACTTATTCCTGTCATGATGATGTCCTTTTTTTTTTTTTTTTTTCCTTTTGCTTACCTGATCATCCCATCAGGCCTATTCATCTTTTTGACTTATTGGCATGGTTGGATTCATTATCTCTTTCTAGGATATCACTGACAATTTTGTGTACTGCTGGTATGCTGGTCATGAATTTCTTGAGATGCTTCTTGTCATGAAAATACCTTATTTCTCTGTCAATTTTGAAGGAATGTTTTTCAGTATACACAAGACAGGGTTGGAAGTTGTTATCTTTTAGGTCTTAAAAACACTTCATTTCAAGCACTCTTTCCCTTTAAGGTTTGTGATAAGTCTGCTGTAATTTTATGGGTTTACCTTTATATCTGCTTCATTGCTTTTCTCTAATAACTTTTAAAATTGACTTATGGTACTTTGAGCACAGTGTGGCCCAGGAGGTTCTGTTTTGCTTATGACTATTAATGGTTCTTTATGCCTCACTTAGCTGAATGTTTATTTCTTTCCCTATATTTGGGAAGTTCTCTGTCATTACTTCTGTTACAGGTTTTTTATGGCATTTTTGTTGTATTCTTATTCTTCTTTGTGTCATGTAGCAACTGTTGGAACCATTTTTAATGTTCTCTTGTTATTTTTAATGTTTCTTCATGTAGTTGGTCTTTGGAAGCATCATTGTCTTCTAGACCTGAAATTCTGTCCTCACATTGGTTTCTTCTGCTGCCCATACTTTCAGTATAATTTTTAATCTCCTGAAATTCTGATTAAAACCTTTTCATAGAGCCTTAATTCATTGCTAAATTAACCATTTATATTTTGTATTATTGTGTTTAGCTCATCTGTCTTTTTAGTAATGCCTTCTGAAAGCTCCTGGATCACTTTGGTTGTTACTTTTGTTATCTGTTCAGTTGTATTTTGTTATCCTGGTATCACTTTGATCTGTTTTCTAACAAGCTCTGTTACCTTTCAAGTAATGTGGGTGTGTGGCTTATGCTCCTCTACCCCTCAATGCCCCCTGGATTGGCTTCAGGAGAGTTGAGAGTATTTGGAGGCATTTTGTTGCCTTGTTACCTTATGTTTCTGTGTGTGTGTGTGTGTGTGTGTGTGTGCACATGTGTGTTTGTTTGTTGTTTTGTGTTGAAGGTGGTAGGTTGTGGATATAGACATCCCTTTAGTTGTTTTTCAGTTATTTCAGTACTTTTACCAACTATAGTGCTTTGTCTCAGCCCCAAGATCTGACTACTTTATTTAATTTAGGTGGGGAGGTTGCATAGTATTTGACCTAACACCAAATTCTCTGGGAACACATTGTAGTATTATTAATGTCACAAAGGTAATCTGAGTTTTGGTTTATAAGCAAATAGCAACAATTATGAGACCCTGTTCATATCAAGTAAATTAGCCACAGTAGCATCATCCAAGACATATTAGATATTAAAACACAATAAGAACCAATTTTGTACCACCTCTAACCCTAGAAAATAAATCCACAATTATGTGTAAACATTGAAAAACCCATGTATTGACTTAGAGGATAATCTGTGCTAAATATGACAGCTATATTTCTGCTGATGGTAGACAAGAATGCAACAGTAATTTTATAAAGTTTACTATCTAAAAGTTAATAAAGCTTTATGTTTATCCTATTAAAGATATGAGGGAGTGGAAATGGGGGAATGCAAGAGAAAAAAAATTGAAATACTAAACTATATAATATGATAAAAGAGAGAAGTGGCAGAAATGATCCTATGGGGGTGGGGTAGAAGATATTTATAGAATTAGATAAAAGTAAGAGAAAAAACTAAAAAGGAATGAAAGACAAAGGGAGAAAAAAACATATGATGAGTAAAAATAGGAGAAAAATTAAAGGAAGAAGAGGAAAACAAAAAAGAAATAATAAATAGAGATAAGAAGCATGGAGAAAAGACAAAAATTCTCCAAACCTCAATAAACTGGTAAAGAATAGAGGAGAAAAGAAGAAAAAAGAAAAACAAGTGCTTGCTTCACAAAACAAAATTAAAACACATACCAAAAATAATTTCTGTGATTTTTGAATGTGTGGTGAAATTTCTTCTGGGTTCTCTAATTTTGGTATAGTATCCAAGTCAAGATGTGTCCCTGATCATCCTGGTACATAAAGAAGGAAATCATCCTAGATCCATGTAGTATGCATGTACCACCAGGCAGTAGGATTAGGGTGAAGGAGCCAATGCCATGACATCCAGAGCAACTCAGGCTGAGCCTGGCCTCTATTATGTGGACAGAGGTTATGTCCTTTATCTCAAACCCCTCAGGGGGTCTCTCTCCATCCCACTTCTTAACCACAGTTGTCTCCTGTATGTCTCTCACCCAGTCACTGTGGGAATGTCACACTAGGATCCCTGAAGTGAAACAATCCCATGGCTACTCTGAATCATGGCTTCAGTCAACCCTTCCTCAGAATGGTCTCCAAGCAAGCACTTTCTCTAGGGTTATGGAAGATGCTTTTGGAGTCACTCACCAGCTGTTGCCTATCAAAGGACTTATGTGGTAGCAGAATCCCATGCTCTCCCCACCCACAGAGCACAGCACCTGCCAGTAGATTCTGCCACAGTGTTTTTATATTTGGTCACAAATACTAATGTGCTTATTATTCACTTTGGAAATCTAAAAATGACTATTTAATAGAATAAATATGAAAAATATATTTCATAATGATTATATCACAGGAAGGCAGGCTAAGTAGAAAAAATCATGAACTTTTTACATTCTAGTTTTTAAGACTACCTCGAAAGCTATAAAACTCAGTATGATTTTTAAGGTATCATTTTTAACAGAGAGAAAAATATGTGAAGTCTAACAAGTGTATAAAAGACACTTTGGAAAAGGAGATAAATTTAATAGGAATCAAAGAAGGGAAACAGGTCTTGTAATTTATATATAATAAGTGAACATATTCTTCCTAGTTTCAACTAAAAAAGTATGACCAGCATATGGGTAATATAATCCAAAATAGCCCTAAATCATTCTTAAAATCTTAGTAAGAGGATAGCAAATACCTCACATTCTTCCTGTTATTTCTCTTTCTGTACCCCTTGAAATCAGTAAAAATCATTTGTGGCCCTTTCCTCTCTATCCTAGGAAAAGCCCCCAGAAACCTCAACAAAATATTCTAATACTTCAGGTACTAATTATTCATTTAATAATATTAATTATTTCATGTTGGCTAATACTTATTTGCTATTTTTGACACAGTCACATCTTAATGAGACAAGTTTCATTTAAAAATTAGTATTATATTTAAATCATTTGTTTGATTTAAAATGTATAGTAGAGAAAGAAGAGATTTAAAACTATGGGAACTAAGATTGCTCCTCAAACTAGGAGCCATCATGTCATAATAGCATGAGTCAAAACACAATCTGACCTCTTTTAAGTACATATGTGTTACTGGAGTTGTAGGTCAAAAGCCCCAGCTCCAGAGGTCCCAAGAGACCAAGCTCACCACCCATCCTGTAATGTCAGTCAAGGAGACCACCAGTGGTGAAAGATAGGAAAAGAGCTTTTATCAGCATGGCCATCCTGGGAAGCACAGAAAGGTTCAAGATCTGCCTTTGAGGGACTAATAGAAAAGAGGAACAAGGGGAGGGGTTAGGGATTTGCATAGTTGACTGGTCCAGTTATGGAAGAACTGTCATGATTTGAGGGGACAATTCATTTTTCAACATGAAATGACAGCTCCTGGTTTTTGGAGCAGCCTCAGTTTCCATTTGCTAAGGGTGGGGGATATGACCATAATCATGGAGTGATTTGTGAGGCACTGCTTTTCCTGTAATTTGAGATGACTCTAGGTTTGGTAATGAATCCAGACTTCTAGGCATCACTCCAGGGGTTCTGGAACTAGACATTAGAAAGCAAGCTATTGGATGTCCTTATAAATCATGAAAATTACTTGACTTATTCACATATTTGCGTCCTTAGTCTTAAAGTGGAATGAGATAGGATAGGTAATTTTAAGGCTAATACACTCTGTAATGCGGACACTTCTTAAGTGATTAACATGC